TACAAGTAATAAAATTATTATTACTACGGAACAGGACACCTCTATTTTCATTGGTGAAATGTTGGAGGATATGCAATCATTCTGATTTGTTTGCAGGAGGTTAGATGGTGTCATATCAAGTATCTGTTATCCCACATCACTTTTTTTCACATCACTTTCCTTACTGCAAAATGTTCAGTTATTATTATTTCTAGAAGCTACCTTGAGAACTTCAGTTAGTCAGTGGGGTATAAATGTTTATCATCATCCCTTCATCCACAGCCTTTCAGGACCTGCATGTCTGTGGTGGGCGTGTCCAGTGGGAAAGTGCAGAGGGGAAAAGTGGCCGGAGCATACTCTCAGTCAGGACCAAGGGCATGTAGCCTTCTATCTGTTGTTGGTTTGCAACTCCCATCTTCCCCTACCATTGGCCAATGCTGATTGGGGCTGATGGGAGCTGGAGTCCAGCAACATCTAGTGGGCTGTCCCCATCCCTGGTCTAAAATGACTGGCACTGGCTTTCTGAGTTTTCAGACGGGTCCTTCCCCTATCTTAGTTGGAGATTTCAGAGGGGGATTGAACCTGTGACCCTGTGCTCTCGGAGTGGCAGTCCTTCTCCTGCCACAATGTTTTTTCGGTGGAGGGGGATGCTGGAAGCTTGAGAGTTCAGCCCTGAAAATTGTGCTCCCCCTCAGGCCTCTCAACGCAACCAATGCGCCGGTGTGCTTGAACATTTCTGTGCTTCAACACTCCAGCAGCCCACCACCTCTCACGCTTTGCTTCAGTGAGCTTCTGCAGCTTCATCTTTTATGAATGGCAGCCCATTAATGTCACAACCTTTCAAAGATTCACTTTGGAAGCCAGCTCTCGCTTAGCATGAAGGGAATTCGCTCCTCTCCGGTGTCACGTTCCCACCCCCCCTTCCTCTTCAGGTCTCATCCAGCCATCGACAGTAGCAAAAGAAAGAAAGTGGGGAAAGGGGGATAAAAAGCAGCACCGAAGAAAAAGAATTTGAAAACTCCAATGAGAAGAGACTGTAATTTACTTACTCCCCACAATGAAGACTCGTTGCAAATCATCCTGTGCAAAAATAACTCCTTTCTCCAACTTTTGATCTCTGATATTCCTGTATTTCCCAGGGGGAAATGTAAATCTATGAACTTATTGCTAATGTTTCCTGCTTCTGACAGTGGAGCCAGTTGATATTTTAGCTGAGAAGCCAAAGAAAAGAGGTGGGCGGGAGGCGAGGGTGGGGTGGGGGGAGAGATGCAGGCATATTCTTAATGACTGCAGACTGTTTCCAATCTTAGTTTCACTTTTCAGATGGAGACTTTCCATTTTATGACACACACACACACACACACACAGAGAGAGAGAGAGAGAGAGAGAGAGAGAGAGAGAGCCCTTTAAATAAAACATGATTTAACTTTAGCCAAACTTCCTCCCAATGTTTACGCTTTTGGCTCGGAGTTTGATCCATTTCAAACTGGATCCTTTTGAAGGAGCCCCACTCACCAGCATGCACTAGCACAATGCTTTGTGAATTGTATCACACACTTTCAAGCTGTAATTCTTTTTTGGCTTCTGTCCATTTCGTTTTCCCTCCCCCACCCTGCCTCCCTTCCTGCCTTTACCCTACCAGTTTCCCAAGGCAAAGAATCTCCGCAGCGCCCAAGAAGTGACCCGGTTCTGCTTTCAGTCACTTTGGGAGGAAGCTGTTAATTTTTCTGATGGAAGGGACTGGGATGGTGTAAGCAGAGCACAAAATGGTATTGGCGCAGTCCGGCTAACCTTAAGCATTTTTAAGGCCTATTGATTCAAAGCATTCCTTCAGAGTCGAAACAAGACTTCAAAATAATTTCAGTTGATTGCCGTCGAAATCTGTGGGACTTAAAAGCACTTAGCAGGTTGGGTAGCCGTAGTAGAGTATCTGCTTTGTAGGCATGGGGTGTCAAATTCAACCTCTGCAATCTTTAGGTGTGGCTGGGAAAGGTTCCCTGTGTGACATCCTAGAGAGCTTCTACCTGCGAGTAGAGACAATATGGAGACAGATGACCTGACTCAGTTTCTGGTTGGTTCCTATGTCCCTGTGGCCTAGTCAGGGCCAACTCAAGCTCTTTTGCCATAGATGAATATTGTACTGCCCCTGCTCTGACATCTTCTTGCTGTATATTTGGGTGGATATTATATTCCCTCCTTAAAGGTTCTCCATATTACAGTGTCTTTTCTCTGTTCCCTGCAAAGAAATGGGCCAGAAATCTCCATTCACTAACATGGAATGGGAAATGAGTTTGCAGTTGGGAAGAACTCACTTAATTGAGGAACACTTCCACCTGCTGTGACTTGAGTTCCTTGATACAACAACCTGTTTATGGAACATTCATCCTGCTTCGTTTGCTGGGCAATTAGATGATGTTGGCTAGTTGATGAGCATTTGGGGAGGCCAGAAGCTGCTGCATCAAAGTAAGCATGACCCCCACACTTTCCACTGCATTTTCCCTTCCTTTTAAACACCACAAAAAGTGTGATCTTTTCGGAAGTGGGTTTGTAGCAAAAGAGCACCATTATCAGGATTTAATTGCGCTACCTGAATTTGCCAGTACAGTGGTACCTCTGGATGCAAACAGGATCCATTCCGGAGCCCCGTTCGCATCCTGAAGCGAATGCAACCCGCGTCTGTGTGTGTGCGGGTCGCGATTCGCAGCTTCTGAGCATGCGTGTGACGTCATTTTGTGCGTTTGCACATGCGCGAGCGGCGAAACCCGGAAGTAACACACTCTGTTACTTCCTGGTTGCCGCAGAGCGTAACCTGAAAACGCTCAACCTGAAGCACATTTAACCTGAGGCATGATTGTATGTGACTGAATTGCGCCTGAAAATAGTGAGTCTCTCAGCACCCACAGTATGGCTGGGAAACACAACTAGGATGTTGGAAAACAGAACTAGGATTGTTCTCAATATCACTTGATGCTCTTGCTCTCATTTTGAAAATATGTTTATCCATATTCTGCAAATAAAAAACGCCATTGTGATAATAAACTATACTACACCGAAATGTTAAAATGCTTCTTTGATGGTCCTTGAATCTTTCCACCACACTGGCATACCTTCCAACATTTCTCTGATGAAAATAGGGGTATCCTAAATAATAATAATAATAATAATAATAATAATAATAATAATAATAATACCCCGCCCATCTGACTGGGTTGCCTCAGCCACTCTGGGCAGCTTCCAACATATATACAAACATAATAAAATATTAAACATTAAAAAAACTTCCCTATACAGGGCTGCCTGCAGACGTCTTCCAAAGCTTGTATAGTTACTTAGCTCCTTAGCTCCTTGGTCGCATAACTCCATACCCTCCAATATTTCTCCACTGAAAACAGGGAATTCCTACTATACCCTCCAACATTTCTCTCTTGAAAATAGGGACAACTAAGGAAAAGTGGGACATTCCAGGATCAAGTCAGAAACCGGGACACCTTCCGTAAATCTGGGACTGTCCCTGGAAAATAGGGACACTTGGCAGCTCTGCACCTTCCACACTCTCCTGCCACACCTGTGTGGCATGTCCTACCCTTTGAGAGACTGTGCTAGGTAAATCAACCTGATTTGCAGCTGTTGGGACTGCTCAGAAAATTACTGAAGCCCTGGACCTTCATTTTAGCACTACTTATAGGGGGCAGGCAAAGAGGGGTGCAGAGCTTGCCCCAGCTAAGCTGTACCCTCTCCATCTACCACCAAGTTCTTCATGGGAAGTATCACTGGAGAAAGAGGGAGGCTGGCAAAGGAGATATTAGGCACCTGCTCCTTTTCCAGCAGCACTGTCCACCCCCCCCCAAGCCATTTACCACCAGCTGCCCTGTGGGAGGAATTCAGGAGGGGGGAAGAGGCAGGTGAGGATAACTCCCAACACCTGCTGCTATTGCAGCTGGACTGCCCCCTCCCCTAACAGAGCCATTTACCACTGGCTGCCCTGGGAAAAGGATGCTGATGAGTTGGCCATTAAGTTGACGCTGTTTATAGCAGAGGGTGGCAGTGGTTAAAAAGGCATTTTAATGCTACTTTTAAGCTGCCTTGGAATGATTTGTGTCATGATAGGTGGGATATAAATAACTGTACAGTGGTACCTCGGGTTACAGACGCTTCAGGTTACAGACTCTGCTAACCCAGAAATAGTACCTCGGGTTAAGAACTTTGCTTCAGGATAAGAACAGAAATTGTGTGGCGGGGGCTCAAGGCCCCATTAGCTAAAGTGGTACCTCAGGTTAAGAACAGTTTCAGGTTAAGAACGGACCTCCAGAACGAATTAAGTTCATAACCCGAGGTACCACTGTAATGATAAAGGAATAAATATGAAATGAGCACTCATCATCATCATTGCCTTGGAAACTTTAGTTTGTTAAGCATTCTGGGAACTGTAGCTTTGCCAGGGGTAAACTACATTTCCCAGAAGTCTTGGATGTGTGTTCTGAATGCGTTTTAAAGGCATAGTGTTACACTTTAGAAAAGGACTGCGTGGACGTGTAGACCCTGAGCAAGGCTCTATAATAACGTTCCCCATTATTAAGTCCTAGTAACCCATAGTCAAAGATAACACCTTTTAAAAAATGGACATTTTAAAGCAAAAATAGATGGATCCTTCACATCCTTACAGGGAACCAGGCAGAGGGCCTTGTCAGTAGTGGCGCCTGCCCTGTGGAACACCCTCCCAGCAGATGCCAAGGCAATAAGCAATTATCTTACTTTTAAAAGACATCTGAAGGCAGCCCTGTTTAGGGAAGTTTTTAATGTTTAATGGTGTATTGTGTTTTTAATATTTGGTTGGGAGCCACCCAGAGTGGCTGGGGAAACCCAGCCAGAAGGATGGGGTATAAATAACAAATAAATCATCATCATCATAATCATCATCATCATCATTATATTCAAGCAGCAGAATGAGGAAACATAGAATCACAGAGTTGGAAGAGCCAACACAAGGACCATCTAGTCCAACCCCCTGCACTGCAGGAATCTTTTGCCCAACATGGAGCTCCAACCCATGACCTTGAGATTCAGAGTCTCATGCTCTGCCGACTATGCAGAGGAGATGGTGGTAGGCTCGTACCAGGAGGAAACAGAGAGACATTTTGACACCCGAGGAAGAGGCATGAGGGCAGGGAATAGGTTCCAGGTGGTGGGAAATGGCCAGAGGAATCATTTGGAATGGAACAAGGGCCCATAAACATGGTCTTCATCCTCAGTGCCCTGAAGGACTCGCACGGGGGCCTGCGAGGGAGCCTAGTCAGACGCCAGCAGGGGCAACCCAGTCTCAGCTTGTGTCCGACGCCACTGAGAGTGAATAACTGGCACGTTGGTGGGGCCTAAACTGTGTTCCACACACCCCTGGGGATGACTCTTGGCTGCCTCTCCCATGTCACACTGTCTGCGCTATAGAAATATCCCCACGAAAACCATAATGTTCCACATCCCCTCTTATTATCTTGTTGGCACCCCGCGATTTCTGCGAGGCCTCGGGCCAGGCAGAACCACTTCATTCTCTGGCACGGCTTCAGCAACACCAAAAAAACAAAAAACTGCTCTCGAGCGCATTTTGGAAATGGAGCCGTTAGGAAAAAGGAGATTTGTCTGCCACGGTGTGAAGCTCAGCCTTGTTCTATACCCATTGATGGGATGGCGAGACATCCAGCTCTTCTCCTGTCACTGGAAAACCTGCAAAGTTTCCAGCACTAGGGAACCTTCCATTTCTTCTCGGCAGAGCTTTTAAAGCCCTTCTTAGTCTAAACACCCTTTCTAGTCTGGCAGACTGATAATAACTTGAGGTAGTGTGTGTGTGTGTGTGTGTGTAAGCAGGCTGAGATGGGAACACTCTCAGGTTTCTTGAAGCTGCAGAAATGGTTTGTTTCAAAGGCCTTGGCCTGCAGCTTTTGGCACAAGCAAATGTCATGATTCTTCATCCGAACTCTCTGCTGATGGAAAACAGCAGCGCCGAGCTGCTTGTGTAAAACTCACTTGGTAGCTGAAGTGCGGAACAGCCCTCCCCACAAAGGGAAGCTGGTGGGAATCGGTTTTCAAGCCCCCCCCCCCACGTGGGGGAAATTGGGCATCTTGCACTATGGTTTTGAATGGTGCAAGGCCAGTTCCCATTGCACTGAGTTTCCGCCCAGTTAGGAGTTTTATGCACAAGGAACTCTGGGACTGGTAGTTCTTGAAACGCCATGCCATACAGGGAAGCACAACTCTCTTTGTCTCTCGAACTGGTTGAACTGCACAAGCAAACACACTCTCTGTTCTAAAGAAAGACCTGAGCCAGCAATTTACTTGTTCTGTTCTGCTTCTGATTGGCTCCAACGAAACCTCGCAAGATCTGGACAATAAGAATACAGATATAGGGAAATAGGTTTCCATAAATAGCTTCATGCATAACCTACAATTTAGTCTCAGTTCCTCCATCTTCCTTATTGGAAATGGGGTTGCAACCTGGGCCAGAGCCTCTTGGATCTTCAGCCTCCAATAAACCACCATACAGTGGTACCTCTGGATGCGAACGGGATCCGTTCCGGAGCCCCGTTTGCATCCTGAGTAGAACGTAACACGCGACTGCGCATGCGCGAGTCGTGTTTCGCTGCTTCCATGCATGCGCGTGACGTCATTTTGAGCATCTGCGCATGCACAAGCGGCAAAACCCGGAAGTAACGCACTCCGTTACTACTGGGTCGCCGCAGAGCGTAATCTGAAAGCGTTCAACCTGAAGCATATTGAACCCAAGGTATGACTGTACTTGAATCCTGGACTGAAAAGGCATAAAAATGATGGCTGTGTGTTCTTCTTTACATTGGAAGGTCTTTTAAATAAAGGAGGCCTCTGTCACAAAACTGCAGACCCTCCAAGTGTCCCTATTTTCCAGGGACAGCCCTAGATTTACAGAAGATGTCCCGGTTTCTAATTTGATCCTGGAATGCCCCACTTTTCCTTCGGACGTGCTTATTTTCATTGGAGAATGTTGGAGGCTATGGAATTGGTCACACACTTCCCAAGCATGGCGAACTGCTTTGTATCTCTATTTAAATTATTGCAGTTAAAAAAAAAAAAATTGGCACCAATACCTGCAAATTAGCATGTGCAAATCTTGTGCAAGTCTGTACCCTCTTTTGTCCCCCATTTCGGTTCTGTGTAAGCGGCAACTGTCGCACACCCGTCTTACAGCTTGCACTTCCAGCCTGCCGTTGCTTAAAAGCGCAGCCAAGTCACCCTACGCCACCTGCGTGAAAACACAATATCCAGCCTCAACGCACCCTTGATTGATTAATTGATTGATCTGGCAAGGTCCTGGCAAAGTATTGTTCAATGCCCCTTCCTCTGCAATCCATCATTCTTCATACTTCCCTGAACTTCCAGGCTCCAGCTGGAGTTGGGAGCAAAAGCTCCAAAGAAGTCAAGTAGGGGAGGAGGGGGGTGTTTTTTGTTGCGACCTGATTGGCTGCACCGTGACAGGAAATGCCAGAGAGAGGCTGTGAGATTCCAAGAAGACTCCAGAGGTTTGGGATGATCAGCATAAGCAGATGAGCACCAGGGTGTTTATGGAAGCGTCCTTGGGATCCTTGCCTTAAATCTCCCTGTCGTTCGTTGAAATCCTGCACACTTTCTCTTATTTCATGCCCCAGACAGGAGCGTTTTGATTTCATTGCAAGGGACACGGGGGTGGGGGGAGATGCAGGTGAAGCCCACCTTTAAAAATAGTTCTATAAAAGGTGCGTGTGATGTGTGAAAACCACAGTCTGTTTGCAGGGCAGGAACAAGAGAGAATTCAAGTCCCAATACTTGGCCTGGCTTTAAAGGACTACTTTGTACGGAGGGCAGGTCGGGGGGAGGGTGGCAGAGAGATTTGGAGGTGGAGGGGGGAGAAGACCACCAGCAAGCAGCAGTTATACCTGGAGAGGCTGCCTTTGCAACTTCCAGACCCCCTACCGATGTTGTGTTCAGAGGAAATGTTTTTAGCTAAACCACACATTCTTGACTCTCTCCAGCTGACCTTCGCCTCATTTAGTTCAGTCACCTAAACCATATGCTCTTTCCTCAAAGCGAACCAGCCGGTATGGGCGACCCAACCAAATCCGTCGAAATGTTATGGCTGCTTTAGAACAACGAACTCCCTTCCCCACACATACAGCCCCCACGCCCCGGCCCTAACCTGTTTTGAATTGGCCTGTATAGTCTAGATAAAGCCTGCACAATTTGTAAGCCACCAAGATGAAATTAGCCCACCAACTGTGCATGGCCACCTACCAAGATCTACTGAGGCTTGCCTGAGCTTGCAAAAAAAATATGCAGAGGTTGTTAAGCAGGTGTGGACTGCCTTTGGCTTGGATGGGTCACAAATTGTGGAGTCCTGGCCTGGAGTGTTTTGGTTGTAAACAGAAAGGTGTAGCACATACTAGACCTGCCACAAAACCTATATTAAGCATGAAGTGAGTCTGGGGCATGCTCTTCAGCCGCAAACAGTTTCCCAGAAACAAGGCACCTTGGGCTTTCCAGATGTTGTTGAACTATAGCTCCGATCATCACTGGCCATTGGCCATGCTGGTGGGGGCTGATGGGAGTTGTAGTGGGCGGTTGCCGTCCTTTGGAGGTGCCGTCCTTTGGAGGTTCCCAAGGGAATCAGTTCTCTTTAACTTCAGTTCCACTGCAACACCGAGCACAACTGGAAAACCCAAATGGAGAGCCCTATTGGATCAAGGCCACGGACCCATCAAGGGTGCCCTGAGAAGGTCACTGAAGGCTTAGGGGCCTGTGGCCATAGCAGACAACTGTGGGGGCCCAGGAAAAGTGTCAGCCCTGCTGGAACCTGAATCTGAAGGACCGTCTGGTCCAAGTCAAGTTTTAAGATGGAAGAACTGTAAGAAGGGAGAGTGGAGGCTTTGATGCTGCCCACCTGCAGCCTCCCTCAATATGGTGAGAAATATTATTACTGCTTATTAGATTTATATAAAGTGCCCTCCATCAATTTTTTTCAATTTTTTTTTTTTTTGCACCATTCCTGGAGGCACTGCAATACCAGGTCGGTGCATGGAGTGGATGGAGCAAGCCCTTCCATCTCCCAGCTCCAAAAATCGATTTAATATATAGTCCTCAAATAGAGGACATATCAGATATTAAACTGATAAGAACAGATACTACACTTGATCTTAGCCAAAAGGCCGAGAAGCGATCCATCAAAATATCTCAGGGCCGTTCATAAGATAAAAATACAAGATAAAAACACAAATAAATAGCTAAAAACAGAAACAACAAAACAAAATACAACAGTATTTCTATAGCAGTTGGTTCTAAATGTGCATCTATATGTATAAATTAGCATATGCAAATCGTATGCAAATCAGCACCGTCTCCTTTTGGGGAGGCATTTCTTCTTTTTTGGCAGCTTATGAGTGGCCACCCTGTCCACACACCCTGTCAGCTCCACCCTTCTCTGTTTGCAAAAAGATGCCTGAAATAAGAAGCTCTATAGCACTTCTAAGAAAATGTTCAGGTTTTCTTTGCTTCACTTTCATAGCAAGATTCCCTCTGTGTTTTAACGGTCTGATCATTGCATTAGTTATGAGGACATTCTTGGTTGATTCATTATGATGGTCATGATGGGACCTGTGGGGAAGGGAGGAGATTCTGATAAGTAATATTCTCCAGCCATTTGGTCTGCAATCCACTTGCACCAGAGCAACCCAGTTGGCTTTAATGAAATTCCTTACTAGGGTGTGGATTATAGTCACGTAGGTTCAAGCTATTATTTTATTTATTACGTTTTTTATCCCTCCCTATCTCGGAGGAGCTCAGAGGGACATGCAATGTTCTCCACCCTTCCAATGTGATTCTCACGAGAAAGCTATGAGGTTAGTTAGTATCATGTACTGAGATGAATAAGATCCAAAAGGCAGCAGTCTGATTGGTCCTAGAACAATAGGATTCAGAATGCAGCAGTCTGATTGGTCCTAGAACAATAGGGTCCAGAATGCAGCAGTCTGATTGGTTCACAGGAGCCACCCAATCCAGCTCCAGGTGGAAGTGAATCCACAACCTGATTGGCCTACAGG